TTGAATTAAGCTGCAATGTTTATGTCCTAGGTATAGTATAATACTTCTATTTATTTGAAACATAAATGTCCATGTTTGATGATTTTATTTTATTCACATAGATATTGTTAGAATATACACTTGTCGGTTGTCATACATCGTCTATACAGTGAAAATAGTACTACCATATAAACCTAGTGGGCTACTCCTCCTACCATCAATTAGTTTTGAAATGGAACTTCACTTCAGTTTTATCTGAGCTTTCCCTATCTTGGTGCGCTTCATCTGCGTGGGACTGCGCTCGTTTTTTCCCCATTTCTTACAGATACCTCTATTATTTAAAACTTTTGTCGCATGGTGATTATAAATGTTTCAATCTGACAATTATTTTTATACATTAATACGCAAAGATCTCAATATTTAATAAAAGTTTACGGTTTTTGTTCCATTTTTTTTGTTACAAGGAAGATATGTCCACCTTCTTCATATGCATTGATTGAGTAGTAAGATGCAAAACTTGTCATATTGACATTGTCATTATAACTAGAAAGATAGTTTGATGATAGTTTTATTTATTTAGAAATTCACTAATTGAACTTGTAATATACAACTAGGACTCATATGATATGAAATATAAGTGTTTATTGAATCTTTTGTCGTGTGATGATCATATATGTCTAAATTTGGTGTGTGTGTGTGTGTTTTGGTACCTTTTTGGCATATAAATATATTTAATGTATATTTATAAAAGTTATCCATATGGTGATCTAATTTTTGTACTTTAGTGCATACAAATCTCAATATTTAATAAATACTTTATTGATGAATTGTAACTGAAATTGGTTTATTTGAGCCACTTGGTTCAAATGTTTTAATATTAAATAAGTATATTTGGTCATGGGCAAATTTCAATTTCTAAATGGTTAAACTGTAAATGTAAATGATAGAGATAAAATTATCTCAACGAATAAAATTTCCGACATGATGGTTTCGTAACAGAATTGTAGCATTTTCTATTAATTATATTATATATCAACCAATAAATGCTTTTATTAATTATTACTTTGACATTGTGACAATTTAAAATATTTGGCAAAAAAAACATTTAAAATACAATATTCTTTTAAAAAAAAATTTTGAACTGTAAAGGTATATGTCCTTTTTTTTTCCTTGTTATTTGAGTCAAATAAGGAATGGATAAGGATCCATCATCCAATCTCTGGTGCACTTTCATTTGAACGGCTACGAATACGCGGTGCATTGAACCAGGATTAGCTATTTGCAGTGGATAAAAGCTCGGCACTGCTTTGGCTTTTGTGAGGTAATGGCAGGCTAGTTTCTTGAGCCCATCGCATTGGATAGCGTGCACTCGTTTTGTACTGGATAATATCCTTTACCTTATCTAATATACTGTCTTTTAGTGTCTATTTAATTAATTAATACTACAAAAAATTCGGTGCAATTGAATAATCATTTTATTGGTGAATACAAAGAGTGATATTGACTAATTATTTAGTTCTAACTAGTACGACACCCGCGCGTTGCGCGATAGGATATTAAATATATTGATGAATTATAATTTAAACGAATGACAATTTATTTACAATAATGTTACTTATTAGACATTTGAATATATATATATAACATTAGTTGTAGGCGAAATGAGTTTATTATGATCATTGTTGCAATTGAAAATATTAATCTTTCGTTTATAACTCTAGAAACAACAATATGCTACTATTATGACTAAATGCATGATTTTTCAGCAACAATATCACATATAACAACAATAGTTGCCCTTGATCAACTCAGATTGCCTAAGACAACGTAATACAAATTATCATCGTTGGAATTAAATAGTAGTCTTGAATTGAAAAACGTCAAGGATAATTGTAGAACAAAAAAATTATGCTGCGAGAATTTCACCTTTTATACTTTAAAATTGTGTTTTTAGTTTTTAGTTGAATTAAGAGAAAATTATGCAATATCGTCATTATTCATCAAGTCAATAACATATCGAGTTATTTGGACTGAAAATTATTTATAAACCAAAGCTAATTAAACTTTTTGAAATATGCATTGAGATTTTCGCTGCAAAAATAGTGAATTATTTAAATAAAATTTTATTGACAAATGAAAGACAACTATAGCAGACAATTTTTACTCCAACATACATGTAAATTGATGAATAGATTTTCATAGTTTTTTTTTATAATTTATTTACTTTTAAACACAAATTCACATTAATTTTAATTGCACAATAAATGTTAAATTAAATATAATGTTTATAAATTATAAATTTTGAAGCATGTCATTTTAGTTCCAAAAAAATAACTTGCATGAGATTTTACATTTTGAAAAATATTTATAAATATTAGTTCTGAATTCACCCTCTTAGTCCTAACACATTGTGAAATTTTATTTAAAATTTTCCAACTAAAAGAGTTAGAGATGATTTTGTTGTGTTTTAAAAATCAAATTATTCCACTTAACAAAAAAAACAATAATGACTTATTTTTTCAAAATTAAAACAAATATTCAGTAACTAAAATATAAATTAAATTTTCCCTAACATAATGTTCTCGTCAATAAGTTTATATATTTCATCTATAGTAACATTGAATAATAAATATATGCAACTTTTTATGTTTTATTTATTTGTAAGACAAATTATATTATTTTCAGACAATATTTTTTTTATCTTGATTTAACTTTTTCCATAAATTTAGGTACACTAAGCCTAAGTGAATTAATACATTATTTATTCTCGTTAATAAATATTATTTTCGATGATAACCACAAACTTGGATATTATACCTTCACGTTAAAAAACATCATTTTCGATATCAACCCCAAAATAGTATATTATACCCTTACTTCTTAATTTTATACTCTTTACATGTCCAATAGTTTTAACAATATTACTTGAATTATCCAACTCTAGAAAGACTAACAGAAGATGATGATAGATTACTTAATTTGAGTTGATGTGTGTAATATATCTAATTCACACACACAAAAATAAAAATTAAAGATTAAATTCTCTATATAATTGATTTTTAATTATCTTTTACACATTACAATTTGAATCTAACAGAAAATCTTAAATCTAACCGAATACACAACATTTTACCATACAACACGTCCACATATATTTCATTAATTCTCATTTCTTTTTTTCTCTATGAAAAAACACACCATCAATGGTGCTTTGTGTTTTGTTACACTTGCAAGATTTTTTCCTAAAATTAAAATAAATTTTAAATTATGAGAAAATAAACGATTGTTAGTTTAAATAAATTATTTTCATAAATCAAAGTTGAGTTCGTGCATCAACGTGACATGCTACTTATATATAACTATTGTGAAACAAACATCAAGTGTGAAGAGTATCAAAGACGTATAAAATTAGAAATTCTAAAAAAGATTCAATTAGATTGAATATTATGGAGTATCATATTAAAGATAAAAGTTTTATCTCATTTTGATTTTTTGTCCCAACA